ATGTGTGTGTGTGCATGTGTGTGTGTGCATGTGTGTGTGTGTATGTTTGTGCTAGAAACATATGGTATCTTCACGCGATCTCGATCGAACATTCGGACGTAATTAGATGAAATATAAATAATGATTTGAGATTGATTGAGTGATTGCGATTAAAGGATACATAAGCAGCTCGGATCGACGACAGGAGGGGAAGTGGCGCACAGAAACAGTTGTGTCAGAAATACGACAGAGGAAACGAGATAAAGGAATGAAGAAACGAAGGGAGGAGGAAAGAAATAAAGGCATGAAGAAAGGATGAAAGAATTGAGGAAAGAAGTTATGAAGAAAGAAATGAAAGGGAAATGAAAAAAAAGAATAAGAAAGAATGGATGGTAGGAGCGAACGAAGAAAGAGACTAAATGAATGAACAAACAAACGCACGAACAAACGAATTCACGATCGAATTTAACCCCCGCGCACCTGCATCCTCCCTGATGACGTCACACGCACCTCCTGATGACGTCACACGTTGCCCCCCTGATGATGTCGTCACACGCACCTCTTGATGACATCACACATTCCTCTTGATGGCGTCACCCTTGATGACGTCACACCTCCTAATGACGTCACCCTCCCCCTAATGACGTCCCCCCCGCTTACCTTGACGACCATCTCGGCGGCGAAGAAGGCGTAGATGAAGTCGTCGAGTACGGCGAGCGTGCGACAGCGCAACGACGCGCACGCCGTGTCCTCGCACGGCTGGTACATGCCGAGCGTGAAGCAGTTCAGCAGAATCACGAACATCGAGATGCGCTCGAACCACGTGTGCAGGCAGCGAGTTAAGGAAGGCTTAGATCACAGAGGAGACTCACAGTGTATCACTGTGACAGCGAGTCGTACATTTGTGTGTCCGAGTATGCATCTAAATATCGACATCTATGTCCGTATCTATAAATTTTTATTATATTTCTATATCAATATCTATGTATGTGACAATATGTCGATCAATATGTCCGTCAATATCTATATATATATATGACTATATATCTTTATCAATATCTATATATATATGACTATCTATCTTTATCAATATCTATATATGTGACTATATCTTTATAAATATCCTATATACTCTTCGCTTATATGACACGCACCTGCGCTCACCCGAAATTATAAGGTAGCCCATATTACTTATAATATCAGTATATATATATATATATAATACATTTCGTGTACTACCCGATCTAGTAAGTGCCAATCATTTTATCCTCATATTGTGTTTAGGCCGAAGTAAAGCGTTAAAGATGCTGTTTAACTCAGCGGAGGATGCTCTCTCAACCCTAGAAAAGCACAGAAAACAGAAAAGACGAATGAGCCGTACGAAGAAGAGAATGAGAGGATATGAGAGAGAGAGAGAGATAGAGAAAAGAGAGAGAGAGAGAGAGCAGAGGACAGAAGAAGATAGTCCGAGAGAGAGCAAGAGAGAGAGATGGAGAGTGAGAGAGAGAGAGGAGAGCGAAACGAGAAACAGCGCAAAGAGTGAGAGAGAGAGAGAGATAGAGAGAGAAGAGAGAGAGAAAAGCGACGACGAAAGAGAGAGAGAGAGAGATGAGAGAGAGAGAGAGACGAAAGAGAGAGAGAGACGAGAAAGAGGAGAGAGAGGAGAGAGAGAGGAGAGAGAGAGAGAGAAGAGAGAGAGAGAGAGAAAGAGGAGAGAAGAGAGAGAGAGAGAGAGAGAGAGAGAGAGAGAGAGAGAGAGAGAAAGAGAGAGAGTGAACAGAGAAAGAGCGCAAAAGAGTGAGAGAGAGATAGAGAGAGAGAGAGAGAGAGAGAGAGAGAGAAGGGACGAGAAAGAGAGAGAGAGAGAGAGAGAGGAGAGCGAGAGAACAGAGATAGAGAGATGCGAGAGAGAAGAGAGACAGAGAAAGAGAGCACGAGAGGGAAAGAGAAGGGGGAGACTACACTTCGTATAAACCTCTACACAGCGTTATCAGTCAATCGCTCCGCTAATCACAGCTTGACACGGAGCGCCACAGCCTCTGACAGTGTTTGGCTTCCTCTCATTGCCACTACCTGCTGTAGCGCGCCGACCCTATGTGAGTGACGATGGAGCAGCGCGGGCCGCGTGTCAGGGTAGCTAGCTTTAATTGCTGCTAATTGACGAGGAAGTTCGAGTTCGGACAGCGCTTGATGCTCGGCTCTTTCTTGAAGAGCTTAATTAGCGAAGCACCTAGTAAGTAATTACAGCTTCTCTCTCTCTCCTTCTCCTCCTCCTCTTCTCATCATCTTTTTCTTTCTGCTTCTACCCCTTTTTCTTTTGAGGTTCCCTTCCCGCCCTCCCCTCATCTTCTTCGACATTCTTTTTCCTCTCTCCCCCATCTCATCCTCATTCTCCACCTTCTCTTTCGCCATATCATATTCACATATTCCTCCTTCTGTTCAGTTCTCTTCTCCTGTTCTTCTCCTCCTTTCTGTTCCTCCCCTCCCGTGTGAACACGCGCAGGGGTGGAATCATAACGACCAGCATCGTCGTACTTCGCTAAAACACCAAAGACGCAAAACAACGCGAAGCACGCACGCGCGTGCACACACTGCATGGTACATGCACGCACACACCCAGGAACGCACACGCGCCCACCCGCCGAACGCGGTGTACACACCGACGCAGGCACACACCACACGCGCACGCACACACACACCAGGAACGCACACGCATGCACGCACGTCGCAAACGCAACGCACACACGTAAGGCCACGTGAACACGCAAAAACGAACGCGAGCCAAATACGCAGGCAAAGCAACAGTGGGAGCCGACAAACACACGCACATGCACGCACACACGCACCACCCATAAAACACACACACACACACCACCACCACACACACACACACACACACACACACACACACACACACACACACACACACACACACACACACATACACATCTGCCTCTGCTGCGCCAATCACGAGGCGACCGACGCGCCTCCTACATTATCACTCGCGCAAAATTGCGCAATCAAAATTGACGTTTAGCGTCGTGGCGAACTCGCCGCCAACGATATGGAGTTTTTCGCGATCTGTCGTAATACCTGTCTCGATGATATATCTCCGTGCGTACGTGACCACGAGCGTTACACGTGCGAGCTAACCTCCTAGTCACGTAGCTAATGCGATGCCTCATACATCAATCTTGTCTATAGGCGCCCACAGGCACTTGGAGCGTTTCAATAAAATATAATGCTAAATAAATACGATATCTATTTACTACCAAAGTCTTAATGTTTATCTACGCTCTTTCGCCTATTATTGCCGACAATTTCCTGAAAATCCGTCCAAATGCTCCTCTGCAACACACGTACACCGCACGCACGCTGCCGCACACTGTCACTATATATATATTATATGTGTGTCAGTCAAGACTTTGGTAGTAAATAGATTTCGTATTTATTTAACATTATATTTTATTGAAACGCTCCAAGTGCCTGTGTAAGCGTCAGTTTTCAACGTGGCGAACACGATATACTGCGGCCGAGTTTTCGAATTTCGATAGGCGGAAAAACATGGCGGCCGCCATGTTGAAATTCGAGTCGAATCGTATGAATTTTAACGCCAGGAAAGCGGGATGTGCGAACAGAAGGAGAAATAGACGCGTGTTAGGGTGCTAGCGCCGCGCTGTATGTATATATCATATTCTCTCCACCACGTAACACCTTGGTCTGCTATTTAAGTTTACACCGAAGTGAAGAACGAGTCAAACGTAATATATATATATTTATTTGACGTATATTATATATATATATATTTATATATTATATAGCCTGTCTGCGATGGGGAATGCACCTGTTGGAATACACACCCAGTACGTCTGCTTCGATTAAAGATGGCTGACAGCAATTGTAGACGCAAGCCTAGTCGGATATATTACATTATATCAGCACTGATTGTGCCACGCAGGCTGTTCTTATCCGAATATATATATATACCCGAGTACAGAAATTAATTGAGCAAAACGAGAAATGCAAAAAGCAGCTGGCTAGTCAGGAGACAGCCGAGCCCAGATGAAGCGGATTGTTATTAAGATACGTAATAAATGTCAGTCATTACTGGAACATTCGTTTCCGCCGCAAACCATATATAGCAGCAACCTTTTCTTATTACGATTTTAATTTTGTTTCATGAATACGGACTATACCAAGCATAACAGATGTGTCTGTCATTAATTACTGGAAGATTGCTAATTAACGACTGCAAACATATATTGGAGTAACCACTTCTTATTATAGATTGTCCCAATGAATATCGCATATCCAGACTTGCTGTGACTAGTAATATGGAATTCATGATGTGTATAATTGTGGGATATTATCAATGTTACTTGACTTGGTTTGCATAATTTCATAGCTTGCTGACTGTGTACAATATAATATATATAATTATAAACCTATAATTAGTTCGTGTTTGCAAACAATACTAGTATAAACGTTTAATTAAAACAGCTTTCCAAAAAATATAAAGATAAAAACCTTTAATTAACATAATATATAGCTTGCTAACTGCAAACAATAGTGTGGACCTAATTAATAGCTTAATTGCTGCAGCTCCTGGCCTTTCGAGTCGTAATGAAACGCGTGCAAGCATTCATTAATGACGTCATTCTCGTCAATTAGCAGCTAAAAAATGAACTGGCGTGTAGGAACGACGGCTGCGCTGTAGTGTGTGTGTGTGTGTGTGTGTGTGTGTTTTGCCTGACTGCTGTGTGCATGTGTGTCGTTTGTGTGCTGTGTGTGGGTGTATGCGTCGTGTGCGTTGCGTGTGCGCTGCCTGTGTGCTGTGTGTGGTGTGTGTGTGTGCGCGTCGTCTGTGATGTGTGGATCCGGTGTGCTGTGTGCCTGTGTGTGCGGTGTGTGTGTGTGTGTGGTTGTGTGCGATGCTGTGCGTGTGTGCGTGTGTAGTGTGCTGTGTGTGTGTGTGTAGTTGTGTTGTGTCTGGTGTGTGTATCGCGCGCGTGTGTGTGTGTGTTGTGTGCTGTGCTGTGGTGTGGTGTGTGGGTGTGAGTGTGGGTGTGTGTGTATGTGATGTGTGTGTGTGTGCGGCTCCGTGTTGTGTGTGGGGTGTGTGTGCGTGTGCGTGCGTGTGTGCTGTGTGCCTGTGTGTGTGTGTGTTGTGTGTTTGCCGTGTCGCGCGGCCGCGTGTAGTGTTCCATGTGTGTGTGTGTCGCTGCGCGCGCGCGCGCCGCCGCCGCGCGCGTGTGTGTGTCTGTGTGTGTGTGTGTGTGTGTGTGTGTATGTTGTGTGTGTGTCGTGTGTGCTGTGCGCGATCCTTCCTGTGCTCGTGTGTGGTGTGTGTGTGTGCGTGTGTGCCGTGTGTGTGTCGGTGTGTGTGTGTGCGTGTGCTGTGTCGCTGTGTGTTTGTTGTGGTTGTTGTGTGTGTGCTGCGTGTGCTGCTGTGTGTGTGTGTGTAGTGCGTGTGTGTGTGAGTGTGCGTGTGTGTGGTGTGTGGTGGTGTGTGCGTCCCTGTGTGGTGTGTGTGTCGTGTGTGTGGTGTGCTGTGTGGTGTCCGCTGTGTGTGTGTGTGCTTGTGTGTGCGTGTGTGTGACGTGTGTGCGCTGCGAGCGTGCTTTCTTTCACGCCCTATAATGTAACTGCCGCAATAATGAGTGTTGTGAACTCAGGTGGTCGACCAGCGTGACGTCAGCGCCTTAGGTACAAAATTTAGTACAGAAAATATTGAGGCCGCGAATTTTATGAGACGCAATCTCCAGCCACGACGCTCCGCGCACACGCGTGCAGGCCAGTTTCGCTTATGCTGCCCCCTACCGAGTTGCTTCTCAAACTAGGTATGACGT